GCAAACTATGGAACACAATGCCAATATAGGAAGAAAACCAGCTGAGATTTTAAAAGTCGGGGACAAAGTCTGGCTGAACCTAAATAACGTTACAACTCCACAACTTAAAAAGAAGTTCTCTTGGACAAATGCCAAATACAAAATTACAAGAGTTGTGGCTCCAGATTTCTACAAACTTGATGTCCCTAGCGGCATTCACCCGAGATTCTTTGTGGACCTCCTCTGTCAGGATCCTGATGATCCCCTATCTTCTCAAATTACAGACAACAGCCAGCCCCCACCACTGCTTGACGGAAAACATCCTCTTTATGCCGTTGACAAAATCTGAAGAGCTGAAAATTTTAATGGTAAAAGGCTACAATGTGTTAAATACAAAGACTATAAAGAAACATCCTGGGAGCCGCGAGAAAATCTCGTTCTAACAGACGCTTTCCGCGAATTCGTCCAACAGTACGGGGAGGGTGATAATGTAGGTGATCCAGATACGGGTAGCTATACGGGATCCCGAGGCAATAATAAAAATAACAGAATCTCTGGAAAGAAAAAACGACGTGAAAGTTCAGAGCCAAGAGGAGAGAGGTGATGTTACGGGTCCACAACTAATGTCGATCCCTCGCATATTAGCGCGCACTTGACATGTATGTATTATTTATTCATTTTATTATCCTGTCTGAGTCTATGACTATGTAGGACATGCAGGTCCTCTCTGCCTAGAGGCCAAGGATACCTATACCAATAGTATATCCACTCCTATGCCTCATATACAGCTCCCCTCAAACAGTACCACCCCTCGTAAGTCCTCATTTGATCATACACTAAGAGGAGCCCTTAGCCCTTCATTATCTCCCCTCTCCAGCCAACGAAACGATGGCCATTTGCGGGTGTATGGCAGACGGGAAAATTCGCAAAAACCACTGGGTGCGGGGCTCTTCTAATACCGACATTAGGAATAAATCCGAAGACATATTGCCCCTTCTGAAGCGTTCAAAGAGGCCGGCCAGCTGAGCGCTGCAAACTTGTGTGTACCTCGGGAAATTCACCCTCTGCCTTTCTAGCCTCCTTCCAACTCATTCCCGAAGGTCGTGCTGAAATGTCAGAAAAGTCTAGACAGAGCGTGATTGCTTTATAGTAGCTTAGCCCAACTTCTTTTGTACTGTCCAGGGCGCTGGGGAGTGCCGTTGACTCATCGACAGAAGAAGCCCTCCTGGCTAATTAGCCGAAATCTTGGTCTCGGCGCCCACAAAAATTCCAAAGTTGAAAACTCCTCGAAAATGTCAGTCCCAGCATGGTCTTCAGAGGCCTCTTTCCCCTCTCGCTCCGCATCTCAGCCGCTTGTTCTTCCTCAAAATGTATAACCCCATTAGAGCAGCAGTCCCTCATAAACCAAGACCCCAACTTTGTATTTTTCGACTTGATTTCCTCCTTGCAGGTATTTTTTTTTTAATTCATATTGTATTCAGCTATCTAGCTATGACAATTTATATAACATTTTATTCCCATTATATGCATTTTGCATTAACTCTATCAAACAAAATTTTCAATATTTCCACTATTATTTTCCTAATTAATCCCCTTTGTGCAAAATTATGCACCTCGAAGTTTTTAAATATTCAAGCAATGCTTGTTTTCCTCTTTTGGTTCTAAATATTATTGGTAATTTAAGGGGTTCTATATTTTTGAAAGATTCATTTCTTTCTCTTTGAAATTTCTGATGCTGAAGTATCAAATAAGTCATGGTTTGATTTCCTTAACTGCAAAAATTGCAGATACTATCTTTTGTCTTTCCTATTTTGTATAAATAAGCCCTAGCATTTCCTATGCCAGTCCTAGCTTGAAAATATGAGGATTCTATTAATCTGCCATATCCTTGAAAATTGAATGGTTTTGTAGAAAATGCTGGTGTGGTTAATTGAGCCTGTATCCTATAAAATTTCCCAAGACCAGAGCTTTCTCTCCCTTCTTCTTCACGGAAGAGTTCTGAAGTCCAATCTTGATTCCAGGCCTGCAAAATTAGTTCCTTAGCCCTCTGCTTTAAAAATGAATATGAAGTAAATTGATTTCTTCTCAGCACCTTCTTTTTACTAGCTCCTTTGGCTAAGTGGTCAGCAAGCTCATTGCCTTCAATTTCAACATGGCCAGGGCACCAAGAGAGTTGCAATGAGCAATTTTCTGCCTCTTGTCTGATCTGGTGGAAGAGATGATTTTCTTTATTCTTAATCCTCTTCAGACTAGCTTGGCTGTCAGTAAAGATATGATAGTTGCCATGTGGTATTGTCATCTTAAGGTGTCTAATTGCTATGAGAATACAGAAGGTTTCTGTATCTGTAATACCCATAGTTTCCCCAAGATTGTATGAGCAACATTTTATCTCTCTTGTGACTGGCAGATATATGACAAATCCAATGCTACAGCCTTTTCCTTTGAGTAAGGACCCATCAGTATAGACAATTGCTGTTGATGGTGGTATATTTTCTCTTAGGTATTTGTGTTGAAATGCCGCAATTTCTTTTGGCTCTGATGAGATAGTGATGGATATATTTGCCTGTAGCCATGGAGGTGACCACAAGGCATCAAGTTGCTCAAGATTCTTATGATTAGCAAATGGCTGTAGAAGATGGCCTATCCTTGTTAGTTGACTAGTTGCATTAGTCATATACCTAAAAATTCCGAGATCCAGTTCTGTAACTAGGGACAGTTCATCCCTAAATGGACTTAGTAATTTTGCTTGCACTGGATGAGATGGCTGTATCCTCAACAGCCGAAGTGCATAGTTGATGGTTTCCTTGCGGGTATAAATAGCGTCGTAAATATGTAGAGAGTGATGGCCGGTAATGAATGAGGCAAGCTCCTGTTTGCAATTGGGGTGACGCCTTTATCGGTCGGCGAGGCGAGTTGATATGTGGTTAGATCGGGGTTGAGGACTCAGAAGATAATGATGAGTGCTGCATGATTGAGAAGTCGTCAAATGGAGATATGCTTGTGTTTGCTTTCGACTTCGATTCGGATGCGATTCTTCTTGGCTATCCCAGATATGCAGAGCATACTGAGCGATTACACCGGCACCACTGGAAGGTGAAGAATTCGTCTTTGCCGGCTTGGCATGTGTGACGGCTTGTGAGCCGATAAGTCCTGTAGCCTTCGATGGCTATCGAAGGCAACCTATATTCTCTATCACTCCGAGGATTATCAGCAGACGAAAACTGATACGAGATCGCCACTGAGGCTACGTAAAGGATAGTGCCAAGAGTATCGGAAGCATTACCCGTGTGGCAGAACAAACCTTTAGTCAGTTTCATTGCCACTGTAAGTGTGGGCTAGATTTAGATACCTCTGGATGTGTATAAGTAGTAGAGTAGACTTGCAGGTAGTTTGCTTCTACATAGATGAATTATAGCTTTACCTTTCAATCATACAAATGCACATTCGCTTTCTATATTTGAACTGTGACAGCATGTATGTAGAACGTATTTTCCCTCTGTATTTATTGTTCTTTCTTCATAGAGAATCTGAGTAGACTACTTTCCCTCGTTTGATTGGCTAAATCACGACCCGTTTCATGACAGCAAAAGAGAGACAAAAAGAAGCCGGTAAGGTGGCCGCGTTCCAGGAGTGGAAAAACTCATGGACATGTCCAAGGGACGAGATACTATCTGGTCATCGAGCTACGGCAGACCCTGAACATTGGAAACCCGCAAATATTATTACAGATGAGACAACAGGCAGAAAAAAGATTACATACAGAAACACACCCTCAGATATCCACCTGAACCTTAGTAGGACGCAAAGCAGTATTGCAGTTCAGATAAGAAGGGATCACATTGGTCTCAATTCTTATCTATATCGAAGGAAAGTCCCCGGAGTGATTAATCCAAAATGTCAGTGTGGATATCCGTCTCAAAATGTGCAACATGATATTGGCGTGTCCTCAGTGGGTAATGGGAAGAGAAGAGGTGCTTCGAAAGGCAAAAGATAGGTCCTTTATTTCAATGATGAACAGCCTAGATGGTTTGGAAAGAACTGTAAAATGGATCCCGACAAAAAGCAGGTTTCAACAATTCCGGCTTGCAGGAGAAGTAGAAATAGCATTGAACGAAAAGATGATACGATGTGGACAAGGATAAGACGGATTTCACACTGTGTAAACAGTGTAATCGCACTTCCTGTAGGAAACCTCAGAAAACAAAAAGACAGGAGACAGACAGTTGTGGGGGGTTTTTACCGAATTTGGTTTCCTCCTGTGTAAATATTATAGCTAGATATACCTGCTTGGGCCCTTAGGGTACCTGAACGGGCTAAGTGAAATCAAATCAAAAAACCCCTCAACTTTTCAATTAATATACACACCGATATTGTGTTGCCTTCAAGAATTGCAATACACTGTGATGTCCAGTGCGGATACCGTCCACTCCCTTACTAATGGCAGGAGATCATTTTGCCCCTACTTTCCCCCCTCTCCCTCATCGTGGCCTCGACTTCAAAAGTCAGTCTTAACTGCTCCAATCTCCCTTCACGTTGAATTCACTTTGTAATTCTTGCCACATCTTTCGGGTTATTCATCGTCGCTTCAAATGACCGAGACTCTGCCTTTCTCAGTATATCCCCTCTCCCTTTGGCCCAGTTGGAGCAAGCCATGATCATATGCTTGACGTTCTGGGACGGATATCCACATCGGCATCGTGGGCTGTCTACTCCGGGAACATGACTTCTGTTCCAACAAGAGCTGAGCCCGATGTTCTCACTTCTTATCTGCATGGCTTTGCTACTTTGGGCCCTGTTGAGATTTTTGTGGATACTGATAGGTGTTCCTCTGTAATTCATTCTTGTCTTTCCGGTCTTTTCGTATGTGAAAATGCGCATGTATATGGTTGTTGATGATTAAGACTAACCCCTGATCGACCATGTTGATAAATTTACAACTTCTCATTAATATGCGCGCACCTATTCGAAATGGGGCATGAACTTTTTTTGAGAACCCAGAAATTTTTCACGAGAAAGCCAGTATGCTTAGTGTTCAGAAAACCCAGCGAAGATGTTTAACTTGCTGTCATCGCTTGCTTTCACTTTTCGACATAAATGTTAAAGGTCCCCCAATATTCAACCCTACTTTACTGCGCCAAAATACAAGGGATATTAATCAAGCAAAAATTACGCGTCATGGTTTTTATCAGAAAAGTTTTACAAGTATTCCTAAACAATCAAACGATATTGAAGATAAACTTATAGAAGGAGTGCCAAGAAATGGTGTATCTCTAGATAGTAATGACGAAATAAGATCTCAAGGTAGCCCAGAGGATAAAGCAAGTGACGATAATCTCATTGAAGCTACAGTAAGACAGGCACGTCAAACATTTGGAGAAACACTTCCTTCAAATTTCCTATCTAGCCAAGAATATGCACTCTATGAGCGGCTATTTGGTCCACCAACTAGAGAGACAACTGCAGACGACTTAGAATTCATTCCTGGTGAGGAAGATGAACCCTCAGCCAAAGAAATACGAAGCGTACTCCTACAGCAAAATCAAAAGGGCGAACTTGAGGAGATCGACATTCATCCCACGCCATGCTATTCCGTTGTTGATGAAGCCTCAAAGGTGACATCAGACAAGCAGAATAAACCAACTAGCGAAGGTTTGTTCTAAATAATTTATATCATATGGTAGAACAATTAGCTTACAATGAGTAGAGCAAAAAGAAAAAATTCAATACGTTGCCAAAAATAAGAGGGAGGTGGAAGCAATGGTCCAGTTACAAGCAGATATGAAGGCCGCAGCGGAGCTACCAGACAAAGACTTAGCAGAACAAGAAGAAGTTTTAGAGTATGAAGAAGAAGAAGAAGAGCCGGGGGAAGAAGAAATAGATGATGATTTATATGTTTCATCAGATGCTGCGCGCACACATCCACATACAATGGAGGGTCGATCTAGATCCAACCCTAGTACCATAAATCTACCTAACAAGTCTTTCGTAGCCCCGATAACACAATTGCTCGACCGAACAAAAAATAAACATCTGCAACTAGCGGCAGAAAAAGCATTTGGTGGCAAAGGTCTTCCATTCTCATCGTCAGTTCCCGTGGCCATGAAGAATCTACCTCAAAGAGAAATTGGGTTAGATGCATCGCAAAATAGGATGTCTGAAATTGAAGCTGATGCTTACATGGCAGCTGTCATGCCTGGGACATACACCGCAATTATGAGCTCATTGGTTGAGGTTCGAAAAAGACTCGGCCAAAGCTGGCTTAGAGATCTGATGATCAAATCAGAAGGAGATGGGCCGAAGGTTCTGGATGCAGGGGCTGGAGGGGCTGGAATCATAGCCTGGAGAAAGATAATGGAGGCTGAGTGGGAGATCATGAAAGAAGATGGAACTGTACAAGATAACTTTACTCCCCTAGGAAAGAGTAGTGTAGTCACGGGCTCTGACACTTTACGACATAGAGCGTCGAAGCTCCTCGAAAACACAACATTTTTACCTCGTCTTCCAGATTATGTTCATAGCACATTTACAGATAATAATATCGACAACTCCCAACTGGGGGAAAGGAAGATTTTTGACGTCGTTCTTGCGCCTCATATCTTACTTCCCCAAAAAGAAGATTATAAACGCAGAAACTTGGTCAAGAATCTCTGGTCTCTAGTCAACCCGAATGGTGGTGTTCTAGTAATTATTGAAAAGGGTCTTCCTCGTGGATTTGAAGCTGTTGCAGATGCTCGATCTCTTATACTCAGCTCCTTCATTTCTTCTCCTGGCGACAGATTTGCCGAGAATGATATCGAATCAGCTGAGTCAAACGAAGGTCGATATACGGAAAAGGAAGAAGGAATGATCATTGCACCTTGTACAAGTCATAGCACTTGCCCTATGTACCCATTACCGGGGATCAGTAGTGGCCGAAAGGATTTTTGTCACTTTCCCCAGAGATTTATCAGGCCCCCTTTTCTTCAACGACTACTCGGAGCTAAAGTTCGTAATCATGAAGATGTGAAGTTCAGCTATATTGCCTTCCGACGTGGAATCGACGAAAGGAAAGCTTCTAAGCCTATACTGCTAGGAGATGACGCTACGAAACAGTCCTTTGAAGGTTATGAGCATCATAATTTACCAGAAACCTTCCAGGATGCCGATTATATCCAATCCAACATTTCCTTTAGTCCTCTTTCTCTACCTCGGGTAATCTTGCCTCCTTTGAAACGACATGGTCATGTTACACTTGATTTGTGTACTCCGTCGGGAAAGATAGAACGCTGGACGGTTCCAAAAAGCTTTAGCAGCGTTGCGTACCGCGATGCACGCAAGTCCAAATGGGGCGATCTCTGGGCTCTAGGAGCTAAGACACGAGTTGACAGAAATCTACGCCTGGGAAAGATTGTAAACTTAAAGGGGCAAAAGGCTAAGCATCATTGGGACGAAGCAATGGGTAACAAAACTAAAAAAGTCAAAAAGTATAACATAGTCATGGGGAGCAAGGGATTTGAGGGGATTCGTAGTGCAGGCAAAGTAATCGAGAATCGAGGGGGGAAACGCAACAAAGGCGGAAGGTTGTCAAAAGGACCCAAGCCAATTAGCGTGGATGACTTGTAGGCTCAGTGAGGTCATGAACAATTGCAAACGCGAAAGATGTAGGTACGAGAATCGGTAGCCTCTTGTTAAAATTAGATGATGCTCGACCATTTACAGGGTCTAGAACTGGAGACGGTTACTCCGGACAGTAAGTACGACCAAATTATTCCCACTTTGGAGGTGCAAGGAGAAAATAATATTCCAAAATTTCCTCTAAAACAGCCAAATTTTATCCATTTCCAACTGTAGAAGGATAGGTGCAACTGAGGGCCGCTGAGGAGAATTGGCAAATGAAATTACTACTTCAGATAGACCGGAGGACTAGGTAGGTACGCTTTCCAAGGGTCAACACCATCTCTGGTTAGAGGATCTTCTTTCCTCTTGTAAACCTTGTGCATAATATGTCTGCGACGCTTTTAGCTTGTTTCCCACAAGATACTTCTTGCACGACGCTGGCGGGATCGGCGATGTTATAAGACGCGAGACCATGTTAGTATCAGGAGTCACGGGGAGAAAAGAATGTGCGTATCTGAGAGCTTTGGCATGCTGCGATCTAATTTCTCGAATATGGCCCGGATAACTTCCAGTGCAGAGACGTGGCAGAGATTTCTTTCGCTAATATAAGCTGCGGGAATAATGGTAACGCATAAGTTAGGGGCTCAGGAAGTCGATAACGAGAGTAATGCATTTGAGTTTGGCCTAGGTTTCCTCGGGTTCATGAGCTTCCGCTCGAATTAATCTTCTGCTTCCCTGCTATTTTTTCCTATCCTCAAAGAGCAACTCCACCTCCCTCAATCCCGCTAAATCAAAAGCTGATTCAAATCGACGCTTATGAGCGTTCGACATCCGTACCAAAGCTATAGCGACAAAGTCGAGCTGGCGCAGGTGTCTGCAGTGACGTGGCGGGCTAGGGTCTTAATCTGCACCTGCCAAGGTGAGTATGGGTAGAGGTATTTTCTGTTCCATAAAGAGTCTTAGGGCTTTTGAGCCGTGGGACCCGATGCGCTCTAGCCGTCCGTGATGAGGCTAGGATTGGGCAGTGTTTGCGGTTTGGGGCGGCGTTTGTCACGAGGCGCGACAGGCGGCTTCTCATGCAAACTCTCCCACTCGTCGTCTGGCGTTATAGAGCAGCGCTGTCCGAGCCTAATGTAGCGGTTACGTTGGTCATCTTCCTCGCTTGGAACGGCCTCTAAGAGCAGGCGGAAGCGATATTGTTGGCGTATATAGATGGTTAAGACACATAGCGATACGAGCGTGATACTGAACACAATGAGGCCGAGCACGAGCGCCACACGATAGGATGTCGGTAGTTTCGTTCCCAGAGTCCACGACCAGTCCGTCGCGCGGGACGAAGGGCTCTCTGACGGAGCCATGATATATAAAGAGGTTCACGAAAAGCTGGGCCGGATAAGACCTTTGTCTGTAGATAGTTCAGTGAGGTTAGGTCAGGGTAGGGATGGAAGATACGTACCGGAGAGTACCTGAAAGTTATCAATGGAGCAGAAAGAGGCTCTACACACGACTGTCGGCGATTGAATAAAACTCGATAAAGCTAGTAATATTTTGATAGGGCGTTGGGGGATCTTGAACTAGATAAATGCGCGTGGCTGCCGGGGATTGGAGGGACAAATTCGGAAACAATGAGGCCCAGGGCTGCGCATCAGAATTATCCAGATAGCTGGCAGGCCGGGTCCGGGTCCTCGACTAGCAAGCGCGACAGCAATAAAGATGGCAGACAACAAAGGCAGGGCCCGGGGGAGAGCTAAGCCATCAGGCGGAAGATTAGGGCAATGATTGACGCGTAGGCATTGAGGCTTTCGACAGGCTCACTCGCACATCAATGCTTGTCGGTATCCGGCATGCCGATCGAGACTGGAAATGAAGTTTCTTGGCGCTCGCAAGGACATTGGTGGCCTCGAAGCGAGATGACGAGTTTCGCCTATTTTGGTTCGCAGTGTGGAAAATGCTCGATGGATACAGATGGTTGTTGCGGCCCTGTACCTCGACCGATGTCATGACGAACGAGGATGCAGCCAAAACAATATCAAGCGCGCTCCCCTCTCAACGACATGGCGGGAGAGCCAGTGTGGGGAAGATGTTGGCTAGCAAAACAAACATCCGGTTCCGCTACTGAAGCTCGCACCATTCGCACAACGGCCCAAGCTAAGCTGGCTGCCAATCATCAAACCGATCCCAAACCACCATGGCAACACCGTCTCTGTTGCAACTTGTCGCAGCTCGCGCCTCTGCGTCATTTCCCTCGGCCCGGCCACTCCATGGCCAAGGACTCTATACTATGGATTCTTGAAACGGCCGGCGTCCTGCGACCTCTCCCCGTCCTGTGACTGATTGGCCGACTTTATCTCCCACAGAGATGAGGTCCTGCATGTGCTGCGGTACCTAGTCAGCGGCAAGACATTAAGTAAGATGAATCGTGTGGACTTTTATTCTGATTTCAACCCAGCTGTGCCCGATACTCTTCAGATCCTAGACCGCCCGAATTAGAGGGGGATATTGCCCTCATCTTAATCGGATCCTGCGTGCCTCATTGAAGCTTGGGTCCTGTCGCTTTGCTGGCCCCGAGCGTGCCCTCTATCTGCTCATCACCGACAGCTAAGATGTGGGAATCTTAGCCCTCAAGGGTATTCCCAAGAGCCGAGTAGGCATTGTCGCCAGAAGGTGATCAAAGATCCACCTCAGCCACAAGCCGCGTGTCGCTTCTTAAATCCCTTGCCCTTTGTTGAGGGATGAGAATCCTACACAGCTCATAGCTTGAGGGCAAGGGCGTTTACTTGTTCTCGACAAAGTTCACTTGTTTGTGCTTGTCTTCCTTTCAGTGTCTCACATAATTCACAATCACTGTGTAATGGCAGCCCTACCGAGTCATGTGCTGGGACAGAAGCGCTACGTGGGACCAACAAATTATTCACGTCCGGCTAAATGAAATGCTTGCTAATGGCATTTCGGAAGAGCAGGTCAAGACCGATCGGCAGGGCGGCTTCGTGGCGGGAAAGGTCGGAAATTACTGCAAGGAACCTGCATGGAAGCTAGCCAGCATCTAGCGCCTTGGCAAAAGTCCGTGTGAATGTTGTCTAGCATGGCCCTGATATGCAGCAGCCACCTTCGGCCACAATCAACATTTATCCAGATTTTCCCGTCAGCCCATCGAGCGGGATTGCGCACAACCTTTCACCCTCCAGTTCACCCCACTGCGAGATACCCGATAATCATACCCCTGCTATCTTGAAGCTGTCTCTTAAGACTTATCAGACCCTAGACATTGCAAATGGCAACTTTGTTCAGTACAACCATTCCAGACTCATCCACCGCTTTCCCCGTGGACTTTCAGATTATAGTAATGAACGCACTACTACCTTCCACTTGCGCATATGCACAGAATCAGGGGAAAATGATTAGAAAGTTTAAAGGATGTTTTTATCTATCTTGAAGGTTGCAAGGTCAACAAATGTCAAAACTACATGCAATGCGCAAGAATCCATGCCCAAATTTGACCGGGAACCCCCCTGGTATACCAACTGATGTGGCCCTTTTGTTCCCATTCTGAATGATCTCATGGTACACTGGTAAGTATTCCGCCTCGACTTCCAATTCCCTCGCCAAGTACTCTTCAGCTCCAATAAATTGCGGCAACTTCCAACAGAATTCTCTAAAAATAAACATGAAACATCTTTATCTAGAAATATATGATATCAATTATCATCGGCATTTACGCGTATCTATTGCACGTCCAAGGGTAAATAGAATATTTTGAATACAGAATGCCATATGTATCCCTCACCCTCCAATAAATGCTTTTGATGGCGTCACTTTCTTTGGATACTCTGTTCTTTCAATCATTCCAGACTTGCTCGTTTCGGCGTGGCACCACCTAACCCCCTTGAATTGAATACAGAGAATACTACATTTGGTCTCTTTTTAGTCTTCTGTGATACCGTGCTATTATCTATATCCTACCCCCCTGGTATCAATGTCTTAATAAATAATCTACCAACGTCGCAACAGAGATCAATGCGTTGCTCAAACTTATTGACTAGTCCCCAAGACCCTAAAGACCCAAGTTTAGCCAAGAGTAAGTTTAAATGCTCAACCTATCCATTCTGACGCCTCAAGCATCTTCAACATGGTATGTTGCCGGCATCATGGCTGTCCCGTTGCTCGTAGAACTTGTTTTGTTTCGTTTCGTTCCAATTGTACTTGAGCCCGAAGACGTCTAGCACATTTAGCACCTCTGAGATCCAGGACACACCCTGCTTAGTACTCCTATACTTTTTTGTTGTAGAAAAATATTTCAGAAATGTTGCTCGTGATGAAAAGTCATTCAGCTCAGTATTTACCCTGGAATTCAGACACCTTTTCCATTGCACCTTCTACTCCCCTTAAAAAATTGTAGCGATGAAAACTGCGTGCGCGTGAAAAAGTCTCAAAAAACTTGCAGCCCCAGCCAGGCGAGGCCTAGACAGCGGGAATACATGAGGTTCGCGCATCCATCTATATCTTTCATCTTTGTAACATTCGAGGCCGACTTGATCCAATCCTCCAACGTTGTGTCGGGTGCCGGGTAAGCTCCGGAAACTCATCGGATGGCTTCTTCTCATGACCAAGAAAAGAAACAAATGAGTGGATGAAATTTTTGGTTTCCACCCTACTATCTGATCTGATGGTGGTTAGCTTCATGATTAAGTTTCTGGGAAGATAGCCGAGATGAAAACGATACAAGTCGCGAGACTGGTCTGAAATCTTCATCAAAGTGAGGATATCTGACACGATTATCCTCGACTATCTCAGTTTTGCAGACCATACTGAGTGATTACACCGGCATCACAGTAGTATCAAAATTCGCCTTTGCCGGCGCAGAAATTGGATGATTAACGCATACAAGACATGCGAAGAGAGCATCGATTTTACCGGGAATCTCAGACGAAACAGATTGCGTGTCAGTAACCATCCCGAGAGACTGAATTTCAAACACATAGTATATCACCGTTTTGAATGGAATTAAT